ACTTGCTACTTGAATTTTTAACAAAATACCTTACAGGCTGCTGCTTGCTGTTCTTTTTCTTTTCCCTTAGCATCGTGTAGGCTGGCTGATCCCATTTTTCTGTTACCAACTCTTTGACTTTGTGCTCAGTTGTCTGGTTGCCATCAGTTCTCTAACCTACTTGCCCAGAATCAAGGATTACCTGGATCAGTTGGTAAGTGTTTGTTCAGCTCAAGTTGATATTTTACATGTGAAATTAAATTTCAGTTAAATTGGATAAGTGACCGAGCTACAGCTACCTTCCTGTGCATAGGAAAGAGGAGAGTTGTCATTAATGTTGACCTGTGTTTTAACTGCAAGAAGACTCAATGGATAGAATGTGCTGTCAATTAACGGGGATCACAAGCTGTGTCTGGCTGGTGTTTAGATCTGTTCAAGTAGATGTTTAAAACAAATCCTTTTAAAACAGAGAAACAAAAAAAAATCAGGCAGAGCACCTCTTTGTTTTGGCTCTTCTGAAGTTTGGGGGCAACTTCTGTCCTTTCTGCTCTGTGCACATGTATGTTGCTGGATGGACCAGTAGGAGGTAATTAATATTAAGCTATTAGTGTTATCAAGTAGAGGACTGTAAGTACAAATGCTGTACAAGTACAAAATCTGTATTAGCATGAGATTGAGGAAGTGACAAGGCACAGAGACAGTGCAAGGCTTCTGTGTAGGTAACCCTCTTCTGTTAGTGACCTGTTCTTGCAGGACAGAGGCAGGGTAAATGCTGTGCTTTGTGGGAGGATAAGGAAGAAACTAGTAAGAAAGGGAACTCTTTGTTTCTGGGGGAGTAGTTTGCACATGAGTTTGTTTCTTTGGGTGTGAAGTTTGGATGTCCTTCTGTTATGACTGCGGTTTTCATGCTTATCTCCTCCCTTTCTTTCCCTTCCCTGTGTTTTTTTTTGTTTTGTTTGGGTTTTTTTTGACTAGCCGGATTTCCCTTACAAAGATGATCTCCTTGCCTTGGACTCCAGCTGTCTCTTGTTTATTGTTCTGGTGTTCTTTGCTTTATTTATCATTTTAAAGGTAAGCTGAAACTTAAGCATATGTCTGTTTCCTGAGTTACTGTATTGAGACGTTATCGATCTGAGTTAATTCTTAATGCTGAATTAAGAATTCGGCTGACTTCTCAATGCTGAGTTAAGAACTTCTTCGAGCAGACTTGTTAGGATGTTTAATTATGATACGACTTAAACCTCGTATTTTGTGTACTGGTGTCTTCAGCTAACTTGTTTGTATGCAGTGGGGCATGTTTATGCAGCTCTGCCTGTCCCAAGTAGGAATGCACAAAGACTTCAAATACCATCTTTTTGCATATGTGGAGATAAATCTAGTATTTGTAATTAAGCTTGTAGTGAAACAATATTGAGTTACTGCATACAAGTTTTCTAAACAAACCTTTTAAAATCTCTCACTGTGCCTAACAAACCAGGGTATGTGTTTTGGAAGGAAGATGATGGAAGGAGGAAATGCATAGGTTAATTCAGAGGTGCATCTTTCTTCCTACTGAAGAGTGGTATTACCAGTTATTTTCTTTTTTTGATGATCTAAATACAGAGGCATTCATTTGAACTACAAAAACTTGTGCAGACAAAGCATATTAGAGAAATGAGTTGAATAATGTACATTGGCCATGGCAATATTCCTCTATTGCATTAAGGATGAATTTAAGAAAAAAATGAAGTAGTGAAAAAGTATTTTATTAATTTTCCATACTTTCTCCAAGAGGAATGTCTGACTGCCGAGAGTGGAAGCCTGCTACAGTAGATGATATTGTTGTATCATTTGGGAAATTTGGTACCTTGTGTATAAACATGTGCTAACTTGCTGATGAAAATTCAGAGAGGTTAATAGTGAAAAAATCTAATCCTCATCAGAGAGTGACAGCGGGTCTTTTTACAGCAGTTATGTTCCCTTAAAGTCCAGGATACTTTGCTCTACCATTATCCTGCCACCCAGGTGTGTGTCCGCGCCCTCTCCTTCACACTGGTACTTGGACAAACACTAATGCTAACCTGGGGATGAGTTGGGACTGTGCTGTTGGCCTGTCCTCCTGCTTCTCCTCCCAGCAGGTTTGGACTGAGATCCACAGAAGCATAAGCCAGTTGGGGATTCATTTGACTAGCACTACTCATGCAGATAGATTAGTTGAACGGATCTGTGAATTCTTTTGCTGAAACCTGTGTGGTTCATCCTCTCCGAGTCTCTACGGTAGCAAAGCTAAATGGGGAACAAGATAGCTCTGTGGCTAAATCCGTGAAATAGCAACCGTTCCTCAGATACATATCGACTAAGTTGATTTATGCTCTTTTTTTATCACATGAATGTAATCCAACATCTGATTTCTGAATTGGCTAACGCATACGAGGTCTCTTTTAAGAGAAATCTCTCTTCTTTCAGGCATATCTAATTAACTGTGTATGGAACTGCTATAAATATATCAGCAACAGAAATTTGCCAGAGATAGCTGTGTACCCTGCTTTTGAAGCTCCTCCACAGGTAAAATCTCTTTTTGGGGTAAAAGGAGCCAGCGTCATTTAATTTTGAAGTAGAAAACCACTGTATGCACAGATGTTTACAAGCTTTCCAAACAAAGACTGGAAAGATTAAAGACATTAAAGCAGCTAATGTTATGGTGGGCTGTTCTTAGCTACATTCTTGTAGTGCATAAAATGGGAGGTTTTTAAGAGAAAAGTCTTTGAATGTTCTTGTAGTAGCATGAAGCTTTCTGACTGCACCAGTCAGAACCTTCCTTGCTGCTTTGCAAAACTGAGAGACAGCGGGCTGGAACGCACGACCTGGGGTTAGGCTCAGCAGAGCAGTAAACTATGGCTGCGCTGCCTTCCGCTTCCTCGTGAGCTTACTAGAAACAGCAATAAGCTCTTCTTAAAAACACTTGCCTGCAACAGAGGATTAAGTTGCTGATGGGGCATGTATGTTCTCGTTGTGTGCTTTTTTTTTCTCTAAACCTGTTACGTTAATCTCTTCAAAATGTCGTCTTTTTTAGTATGTTCTGCCAACCTATGAAATGGCAGTGAAGATGCCCGAGAAGGAACCTCCACCTCCCTACATACCTGCCTGAAGCAATTTCTATGTTAATTAACATCTGTACCAGCTTCCTGAGGGTTTTGTCTTTTAATCTTGCAAAACTGCTTAAGTAATAGAAACATTCAGGGCTTTAGGAGCAAACTGTTCTGTTTTAAATGTTTGATATAAACTTCCTAAGCAAAACACATCTGGGAGTGATTTTGTTTGCTTTAATTTTTGTTCTCCTTAATGCTCTTAAACATTTTATTGCCTTAGGGCCTTATACTGCAAGAACTTAAGCATGTGACTAACTTGTGGCTTTTAATAATACCAACGGAGCCAATCTATGATTGAAGTTAGCTACGGTTCTAAGTGTCTGCAGGATCGTGCCCTTAATTTATATTAATTTTTTTTTGTAAAGTAGTTCATAAAGACAATCTGATTGTGCAGCAAAATGACAGTTTGCCTTTATCTGTTTTTTGGAGGGGGGGTTGAACGTGGTATATACGTGACTTTTTTTTTTTTTACTTTGCACTTTTCTCTTACGTTATCTTACCTTACTGTGGGTTTTTTTTGGTTATCCTATGTCTTGAAACATCGCATTTTTCAGGAAGAAGTGAGGGTGGCACAGGAGGCATATTGCAGTGTGCTGCAAACACAAAAACAAAAAATAGAAATGTAGAAGACAGTTGCATGCTTCTAATCTTATATGTATTTTCCTCTTTGTGATAAAGGATACTGAAATAAATCTTTTACGAAATGTTTACTGGTAGCCTTGGCTGATCTGTTTGTTTGGGGTGGGTTTTTTTTTTAAGCGCTTCAGTGTACTGCAGGCAGCCCCTCGTACACCAGCTTAGTGAACCGTGGCTTCCTCCAGGTTGTTCAGGGGTTGATGGGAGTTCTTCTGCGCAAGTCCTGTGGGTGGAGGACGTGGATTCCCTTTAGGGTCTACGTTCGTGTTGCAGCCTTTGCAGTTCCATACTCGGGTGTCTTCTGCTTGTCCGCTTGCTGCTTACGCGTAAGCTGGGAATTGTATTGGAGGCTTCTGGCCCTCGGGGCAAATTTGATGTCAGGTGAGCTCAGGTGTTAGGAGCAGGACAGACACCCAGTGACACTACAACATTATTTACATTGGAAAATGTCCAAAATTGGACCTACACCATAACTTAAGAAATGTTCTTCTAAAAAAAATAATAAAAACCAACTGCAAACAACGACTTCCTGCTGTTCCTCTGTTGTAAGAGGCAAAGATCATTTAATGATCTGCTGATATAAATAAAAAACAAAAAAACCCACCCTTTCTGCTTTGGAAGATAAAAGGGAACTGGGGTTAACTCTGGGGGGGAAGGATTCAAATTGCTATACCATACAGGTTGTGGATAATTCCAGTCTGTCCCTTGCGGTATATACATGACTTTTTTTTTTTTTTTTTTTTTTTTTTTTTTTTCTCCTTACCACTGTCAGTACTTTCTGTCCCGTGACACGTTTAAAAACACCCTCTGCCATGGCCAGGCTATTGTTAACAGGTTCCTTAGTTTTCTCTTTACCTGAGTTGCCACCTGCAAGGGCACCCCCAGCTGCGGTGTGGTGAGAAGGCGCTGCCCTGCCAGGTACCCTGGGCACCCCCTGCTGCCTCCGCCACGGCCCTCGGCTTCCCCCTGCTCAGGAGCTGTGCTGGAACTGAGGAACTCCCAGAGAGGCTCCAAAACCAGGGGCTCCACAGATGCTGGCAAAGCCTGCTAAAATGTGACTGGGGGGGGCAGAGCTGAATGACCGCATGAAACTGAAGTGGCCTGGGAACCACAGAGCGGTACGTGCCAGGGATTTGTGTGATCCTCGGGGGCTGAGCCCCGAGACGGGGGCAGTGTGGGTGGCAGCATGAAGCCCAAATCCTGCTCCTTCATTAGCTGTCTGACCGCGAGCTGGCACCGAAGGAACTTGAAACTGTTGGATGTGGGCAGAGAGCTCTGGCCACGGGGCTGGCATTGAGACTTCCCAAAAGGTGGGTGGGTGCTTACACGGGTGAGTGGTACCTGGCAGCAGCAGGCGCTGCTTGGAATTCCTGTGGTGTGTGTGTGTGTGTGTCTGCCGTTCATGGCTCGGAATTCCCGTGGTGTGTGTGTGTCTGCCGTTCATGGCTCGGAATTCCCGTGGTGTGTGTGTGTCTGCCGTTCATGGCTCGGAATTCCTATGGGGTGCGTGCGTCTGCTGCTGGTGGCTCAATTTCCCAGCCGCTGGCTCCCTGTCCTGTGGTGGTCCCTCTTCCCTGATCAGTTGTGGGCTTTGGAAGTGTGACGGTGGCCTCTCCTACTGTGCAGTCAAGTGTGGCAATGCCGGCCCGAGCCTGTACGGCCGGTGGGTTGTGCGGGTGTGATGGTTTGTGCCTGCTGTGAATCATAGAATCATAGAATGTTTTGGGTTGGAAGGGACCCCTAGAGGTCATCTAGTCCAACCCCCCCGCAGGAGCAGGGACACCGCTAAAT